TCTTCCCTCACCGACTTGCCTGCGCTGGTCGCATGCCCGTGCCCGTAAAAGTTGTACCACGCAACCTTCTTCCCACTCGCTGTAACCATCTTCTTCGACCACAGGATCGCGACCGTGTCGCTCTGGTGTTTCGGAATGGTGCTTTGTGCAACTAAGCCTCTCCTCGTCGAGTTGTCCGTCGTTGGTCTGATTGTTCTTGAAACACCATCCAGCCACTTTGTGTCTGCCATGTCGCGAACCTGCATGTAACATGCAAAGTTGTGGGTGCTGCTGGAAAGGTGTCATCGCCATCTTGGAAGGGTGTCTGAGAGTCTCCACTTTGATGTCTGTGACGTCATCCAAGAAGTTCGCCAAGATGTCATCCAGCTTCTTCGCCCGTTCGTCGGCCGAGGGGGTCCTTGAATCCCAAAGCAACTACCTGGTTGTTCCTGACGGTTGCGTCGTTGTTGCCACGGTTGTTGCCTGACGTAATGCTGATGTTGTTTGCGGTGTCCTTGGTGCCGCTGTTAAATAACCTCGTTCGAAACTTCGGCTTGCTTGGCCGCTCGCTGGACATCTGTCACGGTTGACATGCTCGCTCTGCTGTGGCTTGCGCTGTTTGCGCCACCAGGCTTCTTTGTGATACATCTTTGGTCAAGTCCGAGAGCATGTCGTATATGGTGTCGATCGTCTCGTCTTTCGTGATTGAAATGTTGTTCGCTTCCGTTTTAAGTCCTGTCATGTTCGGTGACCCACCAGCAGAACCTTCGGCGTTGCTGGCCCCCGCCATTTCGGGCCGACTCGAAAATGAGTCAATAATGATCTGGACAAGATCGTCACGTAAGCCTTGAGGATGAGAAAGGAGCGAAAGCCCTTGGTATTTGACGAGTCTACGAGGGAGACTGCCAACAGCGCCTGATGCCGTCTTCGAGCTTGTGGGGCCACTGGGAAGCCTCTTGGACGCTGATTGAGGAACCTATGGAGAACCTCTTGGGGGCGCCTGGGTCTTTTCGGACTGTCTGGGCGACTTGGGGGGCTCTGGGGATCTCTTCGGAATCTTGGTGCTGTACTGGGCCGTCTTCGGGCTCTCGTAGGCCGCATGGGAGACTCGTTGGGCGCTCGTGGGAGCCTCTTGGGGCACTCTTGGCCGCCCTCAGGGTCCTTATGGGGGCTATTTGGTGGCTCTTTGAGCCAAACCCCCTTCGAAGCCGATGTTTGAATGATGTCCCCAACAAGCCAACACTGTCTGAGAAACCTGACCAAGACAACAACGGGAAGTCCACTCGGCTCGTAAGACGAAGAAGGAACCAAGGCAAAGAAGGACGTCGAGGAGGCGGGTGAGGAGGAGGGCAACGTGCAGGACGAGAGGAAAGAGAGGAGGACCGGAGGACTACGAGTAGAAAGTCAGGCACAAGCACGAGAGGATGAAGACGACGAGAACGAACACGAGAAGGAAGCGGACGACGTGATCGACGAGGGGTAGAAAGACGGCAGCGTGGAAGACGAGTGGACGGCGTGGATGAGGATGGGGAGAGCGGGTGGACGAGGAGGAGGACGAGACTCTTGGAGGACGACGAAGACGACGAGTAGAACAAGGCGGGAGAGGATCCCCTGCCTCTCGTCATTGACGCCCTTCGAGAAAGCTGTCAGGAAACAGACGTGCCACGTGAAAGGCGCTTCCCAACATCCGCCAGCAATATTCCGGCTGTGATCTGGACCCCATCAGCAAGAGAAAACTACTGCAGTTAGTGAAAAGCCATAGCTTCCCGTCAAACGTCCCTGCCACACTCTTCGACCCCTCCCCATGGTCCTATGGCCCCCCCTATGGCCCTCACCCCCCTCCCCGAACGCCCCCAATATGTTGAGGCACGACTTCACGTTGCCCAGCACCTGCAGCGTCACGGCGCTCGTGTGCTTCTCGGCGGCTGCAACAAGGCCAAATAGCCCGGGGGGGGGGGGCCACGGATCACCCGCACCCGTGGGGTTCCGACCGCCCACGTCTCGGAGCGAGGCCCCCAGGGCGAGTGCGTGCAGTGCCCGCCCCAGCCAGATATCTGCCCCCTTTGCCCCCGCCGAGCTTGATGGGCAATTTTCCACCACCACTACCATAAGTAGACGGGGGAAAAGGGAGGATGAGGAGGTCCTCCTCCTCCTCCTCCTCCTCCTCCTCCTCCTCCACCTCCTCCTCCTCCTGTCTATGGTAGTGGTGGTGGAAAATGGGCCCATCAGAGCTTCGTAACCAGGAAGTTCGCCAGGTTCACGAAGCAGGCGTTGCACGAGCCCAGCGCCAGCAACAGCGCGCAGGCGCGCGCCCCGGAGGGCTCGCTCTCGAGCAGCACCGCGACGGGCTGCGCGCCCTCCTGCCAGGCCGACCCGAGCAGCATGCTCGCGCCGGCGCAGGGGGCCATGTAGAACAGCAGCAGGATCCGCATCCGTGCCTCGAGGCACGCTGGTGGCGTGCCAGACTCCTCCTCCTCCTCCGCCTCCTCCTCTTCCTCCGCCTCCGCCTCCTCGTCCTCCTCGTCCTCCTCGTCCTCCTCGTCCTCCTCGTCCTCCTCGTCCTCCTCCTCCTCGTCCTCCTCCTCCTTCTCCTCCTCCTCCTCCGCCTCCTCCTCCTCCTCCTCCTCCTCCTACCCCGCCTCCTCCTCCGCCTGCGCCTCCGCCTCCGCCTCCGCCTCCGCCTCCTCCTCCTCCTCCTCCTCCTCGTCCTCCTCCTCCTCCTCCGCTTCCTCCTCCTCCGCCTCCTCCTCCGCCTGAGGTCATCCAGGGCAAACTCAGGACGGCCGAGGCATGACACGCGACGGCGTTCGGGCCACTGCTCCCCATCCGCCGCACGGTTTGCATCGTGCGGCCTCCCGTCGCCCCTCGAGCAGTTGCCTCCTGGAGCATTGGGCTGACACGGTGGCGGGCTTTGCCGCAGGACGCTGGATAGAGTCCACCTTCTCTGTCAAAATCCGCTGCTGCATGATCGACTTCAGCCCGCGCAACGCGGTTGCGAGCATCGCGAAGGTGACCCCGGCAGCATTGAAGTCGGCATCGAAAGAGGCACAAATCATGAGACCACCGCTGATTGATACCATGGATGCCCAAGTGTACCAATTGTACCGAGTACCGAAGATCATTACAGCGAGTCCAACCGTAATGATCGGCCCCAATGAGGCAAGCATCTGGTTCAAAGATGGAAAAATCAGCTGGCCCCCGTGGGGCGCGCCCAGCTGGTAAGTCTCATGCTGGACTGCTGTCTTGCTTTTGATCCTTTTCGATATCATTCGTTTTGTCTCGTCTCTCGCTTCCTGTCTCTGATCGTTTCAGTCCTGCCTCATTTCTACTGGCTACAAGAGGGTGGGGAGGTGGCCGAACAAAAACAAGGGAGGGGGTCACGGGGGTCCATGGCCCATTTTTATCCGCTCAAGATTGCCCCCGGATTCCCATGTCGACGCCGCCAGATGGCTCAGAGGGTCCAGACGGCCTCCAGATGCGCCCTTAGAGGACCCGAAGCAAACCTCAAGTGCCAAAGACGGCGTATGACGCCCGACAATTATCCAAAAGTGGCCTCAAGGCTGCGCCAAGTCGGTGAAGCAGGCCCCAAGAACACACCAAGTCAAAGTTTTTCTCTTAGTCGCCTGCGTTCCTCAAGACGTCCCTAAATGTCGTCAATAAGGCCAGTAGAGGCCTAAGCTAGCCCCAAGAGAGCCCAATATTGTCCGAAACTCCCCAGACGCCGCCAACATCGCCGAAGATCGCCCAAACAGGCCCCACGACGGCCCGAGCATGCCCCCGAGTCCTCAGGATGTCCCCTTGGAGGTCACAAGATTTACCAAGACAGCCCTCGAGGCCCAGAGGTGGCGCCCAGGGGCCTCAAGATGTCACAGGCTGGATTAACTTGGAGAGCTGGAAGCAGAGGGCACAGCCCTTCAGATATACACTAGGGACAGATTATTACTGGCAATGGATAATGCAAAGCAGACGCCCAGAGGCCAAACACTGACGATCTGTTGCCGGATCGTCAGAGTCTTTTCAGGCCAGCCCTTGATGAACTGAAGATATAAACCGCACATGACCCAGCAAAACAGCATGTGCAAACTCGAAATGAACAACGGGTAAGTGTAGCGTCGAACTGATCCGTCTGCCATCGTCAACGCTCCATAAACGTAAGTCCATTTCAATATATTGCTCATGGCGGCATTGAAAACAAACCACACAATGACATAAAACGCAGCTCTATGATTAAGGTACGCCATGCGTGCGCCTGGTGCGCATTTACCCGCTGCAACATTGATTCCTCGCCCGCTGGGTTGAGCCAAAAACGATTGTAACTGATTGAAGAAAAAACGTACGACTGCCATGAAGAGGATGCTGGGGACGCCGATGGTAACAGTGGAAATGGCGTCTATGGTGATCATGACGCTGATACTGGCACGTGGCAATCATCAGCATCGCGGCTGCGCGAGCTCGTCACTGAAGTGGAAACGAATGCTCCAACACGTTGAAACCGCAGATATCATTGAATAATAGCATGTCCGAAAACCAACGCTATCAAAATCCATATCCGTTGGGGGCAACACACGCTTCACGAGATGACCAATACGTGGACGACCGAATGGAACGATACTCAATATCGCGTATCACATGAATTAGTCAACAAACGCCTATCAAATCTTCAGAATTGTGCTACCGACTTAACGCCAGGCGAGATGCCACCAACACGACAGAAACGGAACACGCTCATGGAATGTTATGTGTTACGAACGCAATGCATAGTGGACCGTCTCCTTGCCAACTCCTCCTTCCACTGCCTTCCAAGAAGGGGGGGGAAGGGAAGCAGGACACCAAACCCATAGAACACCCTAAGCCTTTTTAGCTCTCTGTCCCATCTCACCTGCCCTTTTGCTCCCATACACCCCTCCACCTCCACCTCCACCTCCTCCTCCTCCTCCCCTCCTCCTCCTGAACCTGCTCCTGCTTGTCCACCTCCTGCCCACCCCCCCTCCCCGCCCTCCTCCCGCTGCCCCCACGGGGTCCTTCGACAGCTCCTCGGCCGAGGTGTAGACGACATCTACGGTCTCAGCCATGCCCCCGGCGCCCGCGCGCCCCCGGTCGAACCCGCCGCCGAACGGCTCGGGCCCAGGGGGCAGGAGGCAGCCCTCCTCCTCCTCCTCCTCCTCCTCCTCCTCCTCCTCCTCCTCCTCTTCCTCCTCCTCCTCCTAATTATTCCTGCTCCTCTTTTTCCGAGGGTGCGCCGCTGGATCTCCCCAGGGGGGGGGGAACCCCTCCCCCCCCCCTTTCCCCGATCCGTCGTCGGGGACCCCCCCCCCTTTCCCTGGACGAAAAAATCTTGCTTTTGATTGCACCCCAAGGCTGCACAAAACCGTGCTTGCGGCTTCGCCGCAGACGAGGCCCTTGGGGCCCTTGGGGCCCGGAAAGGGCCCGAAGCCTTTCTCGGTCGCGGCGAGGTGGGGCCGGGGCCCCGGGTTCCGGCGGCGATATAAGATAGCGGCCGTCCTCCGCTGGCACAACGGCCCCCCGCGGAATCGTCTGGGCGAAGTTGTCCAGGCACCTCTTGGAGATCGAATGTGGCGCTCTCTTCGGTTTTCATGCGATATTTTTCCGGGCCCGAAGGGGCCGAAAGGGGCCAAAAAGGGTGCCCTAAAGAGGCCTTTGGGGCCCCCCGGCCATTTGGGCCCGGAGCAGAGAAAGGAAGGGACCAGGATTTGAAAGGGACAGGTTTCGTTTCTCTCTGAGATGCTGCTTGCGACAAGAGCGCGCGTGCCGCCCCCCCCGGACCCTCGCGCAGCCCCTGCAAGGAGGCGAGTCTGTCGCCAGACAGGACACTGAAGTGGCCCACCGGGACACAAACAAAATCGACACCATATATCAGAAGTCCTGTATTCTCCTGCATTTTCCCCCAGATCCCCTCTCCTCCCCGCCTCTTCCAGGATGTCTCCTGTATTTTCATGATCTTTCATGTTTTTTTGTGGTTGTGCAGATTTTTTCCTCGTGAGACACAGTGGAATGGCACGTCTCCTCCCAGCCCCGGAGGGGCCCCCATTAGGCCCCGAAGAGGCCCTTTTGGGCCCCACGGGTGAGGCTGGAAGGGTGAAAATAACAAGATGTTGACATGGTCATCCTCGACGCCTGTCGGTCGGAACCGCGAGATGTTTATGTTACTTTCTAGATTCTGGCCTTACCCATTTGTGCTCACCCGTTTGGACGGGCACGAATAATGATGAGACTGAAACGATAATACGATAGAAGCGTTCCGATGAGGTCGGTGTGACCTCTGTCAGAGCCACCCTGGCGAGCTTCCGTATTTGAGTGTCGCACGCCCGCCGATGGGCACGCACACACGGCTAAGGTCGGGAATGCCCGTCTTGTCGCGAATGGCCCTTTCGGGCCCGAAGCGCGCTTTTGGGCCTGAAGGGCACTTTCGGGCCCGAGGAGCCTTTTTAAGCCTGAAGGGCCTTTCGGGCCCGAAAGGGCCCTTCCTTGCCTTACCCGTCTGTGCGTGCCTGTCATTGTCGGCGGGCGTCCGAGAATTGATGCCACGGGTGTACATACGCGACATCACCGCCAATTCGTTTTTCTGTGCTGATCGGGCACGTATGCCGCAGGGTCATCTGCAGATCAATATACGGACGCACCGAATGAGTGTAGTGTTCCTCAGCACCGACCAAAACATTGTTTGGTCTGCTTGCGGACGGAAAAGTTTGGCGCGGACAACTCGCACTTTAAGCGATGATGTCCTTGCAAGGTAAGAAACTCTGATGTGTTGTACGCAAAACGGCCCTTGTGGGTCTCGAGGCGTGTGAGATTGTCCCCCCCCCATAAGCCTCCCCCGGGACCCAAGACCGGCAATTTGACCCCCCCCCCGACCGCGGACGACCCTCCGCTGAACTCATCCGGCTCGGTCTGGGCTCCCCAGGCTCGGCTTGGAGCCTCTCTAGACGCCCCCAAGACGGTCCAAGAGTGCACAAAGTCGCCGAATGATCGCTACAAGACGCCCAAGATGGGCCCCACACGGCCCAAGAAGGCGAAAGGCCGCCCCAAGAGGCCTCCAACAGGCTTGCGAAGAGAGGCCCGCGAGGCCAAAATCGTCTCATTCCGATGGGAAGACACACATTTTTTGCATGTGCGAATCTTCGGCCTTCACTGCGTCGAAAACTGCTCACGAGGCCGCCAAGACCGCCCCAGGAGGGCCCAATAAGTTCCCAAGAGGGCCCCAAGACGGCCCAAGAGGGGCCCAAGAGGGCCCAAGAGAGCGCCAGGAGGGGCCAAAAAGGGGGAACCCGAAGCGGAAATCCGAGCCTCCTGCCTCGAGCCGCTCCCGGAAGGCCCAATATGTCCCCAAGAAGCCCCAAGAGGCTTCCAAGAGGCCCCCAGAAGCCCACTAGAAGCCCCAAAGAAACCCCAAAACGGCTGCCGAAAAGCGTCCAAAATGCTTCCAAGAGGCCCGGGAGCCACAAAGACGTCAACATCGTCGACTATAGGGCAACATTTTCTGTAGCATAATGACTCTTCGGCCGCCACGGCGTTCACGACCGCCAATGAGGCCTCCAACGCCGCCCCAAGACGGCCCAGGAAATTCAGTCTCAAGGGGCCCCCCAGTCAAACCAACAGCGCTCCTCAATCCTCGCGCCCCCCGCCTTTTCCTGCCGCCCCCCCCCCCGCCCCCAACATTCGCGCGCTGTCTCGAGCGCTTCCGTGGATCTCACGCGCGCGCCTTGCACTTCAACGCGCGTCTTTCCAGGGCGCGCGCGAAATCCGGTCCAACCGTGAGCTTCGACTTCGGGAGTTTTCTCTCGCAGGCGCCGAAGCACTCGCGCGCTTCCGTATTGCGAGCCGCGAAGCCGACTGCAATGCACTCCGAGCGTGCAACCTTCCTCTTCCTCGTGAGACGTTCGCTCTCTCGTCTGGCGCTTACGCGCTGCTGCCGAGCGAACTCTTTCTCGCGCGCTGCACGCACCACCGGTCGCTTCCACCGTTTCGACTCATCGGCCACACCTTTCGCGGCGATGCCCCGCTTATCACAGCTTCCGCACACCGCCCTTGCCTCTTTCGTGGCCCGGTCGGTGGCCCTTCAATTGTTTGCGACTCAAATGGCCGACCTCCCAAGAGGACGCCCCGCAACTGGGCGCACAGCACGTCAACGGCTCCGCTTCCGCCTCTGCTCTCCGTTTGCGGTGGTTTGCTTCTCGCGTCAACGTGCCCCGCGCCTCTGCGCATTTCCTACACAGTCTCTCCCCTGCTTCGCTGTGCTTCTTCTGAGCTTCCGACATGTCCGCCCTTTCTTCGAAAAGGGAGAGACACTTGTCGCTCGAACGCCGCACTTTGCCGACACTCTCGTTCCACTTCGAGCTGCCGCTCCGCGACTTCTGCTTGGCTTTGACACGGCTGCCCTTCGCGCAGCACATTGTCCTAATCATTTTTCGCCCCCCCGTCGTCGGCCGCCGCGCCCGCGCCCCGACCGCTGCCATGTCGAGTCGCGTCGTCACCCTTCGCTCTCGTTGCCCACCCCCTGCACGTCGTGCACCATTTCTCGTCGGCGTTCTCATCTCTTCCGCGCGCTCTTTGCAGAACGCCGGACTTTCCTCTTTCTCGAACCCGTACTCCGTGAGCGCCTCTACCAACAACCTCCGCCGGCAGCGCTCGCACTGGTCTCTTGGCATCTGTTCCGCCTCCCGCTCATCCCAACCCACGCTCTCCCCTCGTAGCACCTGCAAAATTTTTCGCACCCGCCATCTCACATGCGTTGTGCGGTGTCCTATCAAAAAGCTGGAAGATCAGCAGGTTCTCTCACCTGCGCACGCGCGTGATGGCAGCGCAACTTGACATCCAACTCGCGCCGCGCCCTCTTCCCAGGTCCGCCATCACCGCCCCCGCGGTCCGGCCCCGCGCAGAGTGCGCCGTTACTGCCAAAGCCGGGGCTATCATGAACTGGGTGCGTTTCGCACTCAACACAGAATCCTTCCGATACCCGTCCAAGAGCCAATTTCGCCCGTAAGATGGGAAGATCGGATACAGGCCTGGCTCCCAGTCTGGCAGGTGCCACTCCTTCTTGTGGAAGTCCAACACAATCACCCTCGGTAGATGCAACAATACTTCCTCTTCTTCATTTCCCAAGACCTCGTTCTCGTGCAACGCCCATCCATGGATCGTCGCTGTGCGCCCCAAGCTGTTTCTTCGACCGATCCACGTGATCTCCTAAAGCCACGGCGCCAGTCCCTTGGCCAGCGGCAGCCACCCGGGCAAGCTTGCGCACTCCTTCTCGTGGTACCCCAGCCAACGTCCCTTATCCTCCACGGTGTACGGCCGCCTCTGGTCCCCCCCGTGGCAAGCGCGGTCTATGGTTGCGACCCAGAGCAGCTGTTCTCCTCGCTCCTTGGCCCACTGCACAGCTCATTGCTTCCCGACGCGGCACCGAATGTTCTGATTCGCATGAATGGCGACGGTTTCCATGAATTGTTCCTTCCGAAATCGAGCGTTTTCTGGCACCCAAGGGCCTCTAAAACGAGCCCCATTGTTCTCAAGCCTCCGATCCCGATAGATGCGGTTGCCGCCCAGGCAGCCCAGGCGCTCGAGTCGCCCTGAGCGAAATCGAACCCATTCCCGAAGTCGTGCGATGGTCCTCCATTCCTTTTTCCTTATGAACAATTCATCCCTCTCACCCCGAGGCCAGTCGTAAGGGCGGGCCGCTCGAAGCACCTCTGTGCTTCGAGCGTTTCGAGTGACGTCTGGTCACTTGTAAGTTTCCTGCCAGCGCGTCCACCTGGACGCAAGGTTTCTGTCTGTCTGTCTTACAAGTTGGTGGCCTGAAGCTAAACAATTTGCAACTGCTTCACATATGGAGGGCGGCCCCTTCCAAAACGTGGTTCTCGCTTTGGCGCCGCGCAAATTCCCAAACATGTGCAATAATTCCACGGGTTGAGGGCGGATCGTTGTCAAGTTATGGTTCTCGCCTTAGCGCCGTGCACATCCGATTTAAACAGTCACAAGGGTTTCACCTATTGGGGGCGGGTCGATTTCAACATGTGGCGCTCGCCTTAGCGCCGCGCACATGAATGTAATACATGTG